TTTAGTGTTAGAGTCAGGGAACTCGCCTTCTCTACCTTTTTACCTTGCCCATTACTTATTTATTAAGAGCTTTAGCTTAAAGAGATAAAATTCAACTATCCAGGTAGTTTTAGTAGTAATTCTGTGGAGCTTCTTCAAAGCGGTTTTGTGTGTATGTGTGTGCACATGTAGATAGAATGATTAAAATTGATTTTGTGGCTGCTAAGGTAGGCATGTGCAGGCAAAGAAATGCCAGAGATTCATGCAGGGTTTTTTTGGTTTGATTGGTATCTTCTTCTTCTTGTTGCTTGTTTTTTTTTACCATGCAGCCTTTTTAAACAGCATTTGGGAATAAACACTATCAAATTTCACATGCTGTACACTGCAATCTTCAGTCTACATTCTTAATATCTAACAGCCAGGCTCACATGCTTAAATTTCTGCAATGCTTCAGAAATACATTCTAGTTATTACTTAATTGATATGGATAACAGAATCAACCCAAATGTTTAAAAAAATTAGCCCCCCAAATAACCAGGTAAACCTGTTCCTAAACTCTCAGCCAGATGAAGGTAGGAGCCAGACACACAAATTATTAGCCAGACACACAAATTATTGTTAGTGTTTTTCCAAATGAGTACATTAGATCAGGTTCTTAAATTTTTCCCTGGATAGCTCAGTAAAAAGAGTCTGAAAGCACAGCTGTCCTCCTGCCTGGCCCCGAAAACATGAAATCCAAAATTGAAATGGGGAGATGTGAACAGTGCTGGTTGGATTGAGCACAATACCAGGTGTAAGGGCTGCACAGCTGCTAAACAAGGTGATGAGGCCATGAGGGATGGCATGTGCCATGTGCATGTACTGGTTCAGACTTCCTCAAGCAAGGGGATTTCACTGCTTGTTTCCAACACAGTTGAGCACTTGACGCCAGCATCTCCTTCCCCAGAAAAATGATTGGCAGAATCTCCAAAAATGGGACACTGAGGTGAGTGTGTGTGACTTTGGGAATCTGCTTTGTTTTAGGCTTCATGACCTGTGGTACCGAACCACACATACTTTGGGCTCTGGACTTTTGTATCTTGGGGGCAAAGCCTGTGGGAAAGGAATAACCCTGCTACCAACAAGCATTTGAAGTGTGTGGGATAAAAAGTGATGTGTGAGGGGCTGCTGACAAGCATCTGGACTGACAGAGATGACCCTCTGCTGTTGACTTAATAGTTGACATTCTGCAGACTGAAAGGAGGTGACCAGTTCTCTAGGGAAGGAGGAGTACAAAACATAACCAAAGATGAAAAGGAACTTCAGAAGCACCTTAAGGGCCCAGTTGAGATACTTTGAAATCCCTTTGTGCCAGGCTGTCTGTAAAATGCACAGTGCAAGAGAGCCTCACACAGAGAAGGCGTGTGGAATGGGAAGGAAAAGCAGAAAAAACAGCAGTTCCCTAACACCTCACAGGAGTTCAGTGTTATAAGCAGAAACTGAATGCTAAGTCTTAGTCCCTGACCAGTGCTTTGTTACCTATTTTGTCATGACCTGCACAGGCTGATGCTTTTTTCCAGATATTGATTAGAAGGGTGCCAAAAATCCACTACAAGTGTTACTCTTGTTGGGAAAATATCAGCAGTTCAGTTTTAACTAGAGATAATGGCCCTGCTGCATGCTTTGGGGGCAGACACTCCCTCCCTGCTGGAAAAAGCACCTTCCAAAACAATGGCTTAACAAAGTGCCTGCTTGCCTCCAAAGCGACTCATGTCAGCCACGTGCCAAGTGAGCAGAGGAGGCAGAGCCACCCTTTGAGAAGAGTGATGCCCATTCTTGTGCCCCCTAAAAATATAGGCCCCTTATATGGCAGGAAATTCAGTGCAAGTTGAAGCTGTCAGAGATGATTTAATTCTTCCTGAGTGCTCTTTGACTCCCGAGGTCAGGGACTCAGTGACTGCTGGCTGCCAGCCCCTCCACAGCTCTGAGAACAGCAACTTATGTCCGTGTAATGTGGATCAATAATCTCACCATGGGACTGATTGCTTGCACCCGTGTACTGGAATTCCCCATCTCCAGTGTTGGGGACTGAGATGAGACACAATGACTGCATTGAAAAGGAAGACGTGCCTTTTTTCCAGTAATTAATACTTCCCTTCCACGTGCACTTCTACACAGAATGGGCTGGATTACCTCACACTGAGCCAGAACATTCAAACCCATTGATGACATTTCAAGCAAGTGCAGCACTTGTTACATTAATGGCAAAATCTCCACGGCTTTTATACCTCTCCCTTTTAGAGCTTAGGTTATCAGTGGTAACTCTATCCCCGATTATTTTTGGTAGAGTAGCTCTCACCCACCTTATATGCAATCAGTATATTTGCTGTAGACATGGTGCTGCAGTCTAATCCTAGACCCATAATATAATAGAGTGAGGAAAGGACCAGTCACCTTTAGAGAAGCCTTCCTAGTTTATGTCAGAAAAGGTTTTGGGTCTAAAGACTGTTGTTCATCAAAATACTGAAATTGCATACGGTTACCTTAGATTGAAAAAATAGAAGCATATTTTTGTAAGCATTTTCCTGGAATTAGTACAGATATTTAAGTGTTTATTGGTCTGTAATAAAATTCTGATCGTTTAAATACCTGAAGTAAGGAAATCAAAAGCTTTTTTTTTTCAGAAGCAGCAGCTCAGATGTTATAATTTTAAATGTTATAAATATACCCATAGTAATGACTGTAACACCAGTTCCTTTATATACATAGAAATTAGCCATAATAATCAATATTAATCTTTATTGCCTTTGAATTGAAATAAATTTAGAAATTAATTAATATATGCTATTACATCTTACTGATTTTGTGGCTAAAAAGGGATATTATATCAGTTTATCTCATCTCTTGTACAGCACTTTGTGCAGTTTCCTTATAGTAGTCCATTCCAATAAGTGTATCTCACACTTGGATTTTAGGACCCATGTGTTCTGTGGTCTTTACCTGTGTGTTTTTAGCAAGGCCCTCACAGGTAGCCAACAATTTGTCTCTCTCCATGTTCTGTTTAGCTTATACCAAAATTTCTGGTTGCTATATTGACTCCACCAAGGTGGTGGTTCCTTGCACACCTTTCATGGGGGAAATATGTACTCCATTGATCACAATATAATCTTGTTCAGTCTAACAATTTTTTTGTTTAGATACTGACTTGTTCTGCATCAATGGCAAGATACTGACTGATTTCAGTACAGCCAAAATTTAATCTTTGTTTTGTAGTAGGTGATCAATATTGTTATACATCTGCATTCTCACAGTCAGGGCCTTCCATTAACAAAGCCAGTGAAGGCATTCATAGGCTGCATGACTGCATCAACAAGTAGCAGGGACTTTTCTCTGAGACTGCTACACCAAAGTTTGTCATGTCATGTGGACATAAAGCATCTTAGCTAAGAGTTGGAATTAGCTTCCTTACTCAAAACAACTGGCTAAAGAATCATAAATAAATTCAACTAGCTCTTGATATTGCAAATGTTTTATTATTTCAGATGTCCAGTCCTGTTACTGCTGAGCTCAGACCTGCCCATGAATTCAGCCCCTGCTAATTTGCTGTTTTCTTCTCCTATGTCTTTTCCATATGTTTATAAACAGGACACATTTCATGTATGCAGGCTTGATTTTCATGAAATTAAGCACATATACAACTTGCTAAAGCATGAATTATTTTATCAACAGCATAGTGTGGAAATTGCCTTCTTTTGGGGTCCCCCTCACTCTCATTTTACTCCTTGCAGCACCTTATCGATTACTTTCTCTGTTATTTCATAGAGCTTCTTGCCAAGTGTCTCTAGACAAGATGCAGTGACCACTGAATTTTCTATAAGTTATAGCAGAATCAAAGAAAAGAGACCTGTTCTATTCCCACACTGCATCCCAGAGGCAGTATTAGTTGTCTGGTAACATTTATCTCATGGAATTTTTTTTCCACTTAATTAAATTTCCTCAGTGTAACAAACCCATATGATTTTTGCAATAGTGATTGTAGTTTCCCTGAGGTTTTACCATGGAGAAACGTATTCAGAACTTACTCTGTGTCCCCATTGGAAAGAGCTCTCTGCAGGAATTCGTGGTGCCCTTCTGACACTGTAATCCTAAGCAGCCCAGGGAAATTTAGGGAGAATCTCAGGATGGAAAAGTGCTGCTAGTTCTATTAAATCTTATTAAAAATCCATAAATGAAAAAATCGAGCTTAAACAAGGCTTGGGGAAGCCCTTTTAGAGAAAATCTGTTGTTTTAGGTAATCTTTATTTTTACCATTAGAGCTGCTTTTGTTTTGCTGCAGATGCCCATTGTGAAAATTGTCAGGAAAGAGTAAGAAATTAGTAAATTGATTCAAGCCAAAATTAATGCCTTTATGGTTATTATTTCCTTTACTTCGGTTGATTTTTCCCTGGCAGAGCTTTAAGAAAAGTTCTGTCTCACCAAATAACAGAAAATCCATAGTGCCAAAACAAGCAGATATTTGCAAGGAGCCCCAAAATTTTGCTGATGAACTCCTGGTTAGTAGGTATTTGTAGAATAAATGACATCTGATGTGATTTTGCAGATGCATACTAAGGGAGCATACATACACACACATATACCTGTAAATATGTGTATATGTGGACACTCTGAACATCTGTCTTGGTAGGTAACAAGTGGAATTTACTACATTCATTCCTGATTCCTCTGGGGCTCTGGAATATCTTCTGATAGAGAATTTCTAGTTGTGTTGTTTCAAATGCTGGTTTAAATAAAAATAAATAAATATAAAAAAATCATTAGCAGCATTAATACAGCACATCATGATAGCAGGTTAAATATAGACATGGATTAACAGAGTCATTGTTTTCACTCCTGCTAAATAAGACAGTGCACTTAAAATGGAATGCCACTTGACCTTTTGTGCCTCATCAGTCTGTGACTGTATTTAACTGATGCAGGGAGGAAACATTTTCCCCTGGAACTGTCCCCGGTTGATATGAGGATCGCTACTGCCGGGTCACGCCATGCACCCCAGGAGCGATCCTGCAGCCGATGGAGGAGCTCTGTCCATGTCTCACAATGACTCACGCTCTCTTCTCAACCTCTCTCAGCTTGTGCTCTCTGCTGGCCAAATCAAACCATCGCCAGCACTCAAACATTCAAAAATCACGTACTTTGAAGTAGAAATTCTTGATGTGCAAAGCAAGAAGCAGATCTGCATTGTGGACAAGGTGAGTGTATTATTCCAGCACGCTGGGGTGTGCCTCGTTCACACAGTGCCAGTTCAGGGACTCTGTTTTCACTGTGTTGCGGTTTTGCTCTGTAGTAGAAGTACTTTCATTCTCTTCTCTCAGAACTTCTTGTTAGTCACAATCCTGGGCTGTTTTTCTCCAGGGTTTTTACAAATAATCCAGCACTGGTTTGTTTTATACCTCCTGGCTGCTGTGGACTCTAAATCTGTCCTTAGGCTGCCTCTTGACGGTGTTTATTTCAGAGCATGATACTGAAATGTCTGCTTCAGTGGGGATACTCAGTTTTAACAAATTTGCAAAGCTTACCATCTTTGTAATGCTGGTATCTACACATACTCAGCTTGCACCCTATTTATTAGATTGGGCAGGAACCTGGCATTTTTAAAAAATTTAAGTTTTAAACAAAGAGTCTTATCTAAAAGAGGTATTTTGAGATTTTGTTTGTTTAGTTTGTTTGTTTTAATAATGTGAGTAAAAATATAAACTACGGCGAAATTGTATAAGTAGGATAAGAGGACTGGGTGGGAATGAAGTTTACAAACCTGGAAAAAACATTTAAAAAAATGCTTCACAAATATTTTCATCACAGTTTTCGTGATTCATTTTGTGATTCTCAGCGGAAGAACTGGTCTGTTGCGTGCCATGAAAATGGGAATGTTAATCTATTTACACTATAGAATTTTTCAGTAACATAGTAGAGTTTTGAGACTTACTGTTTTGCTAGAAGAGAAAAAAATAAAAATAAAAAATTCCCTTATCCTCGTTGGCAACAGCTGGAACTGGCAGGTAAGTTTGCTTCAAATGTTTAATGCCTTTGAAATATGTAGGGTGGAATACTACCGGATTTCTAGTGTTCTTGATCATTTAAAGGGTGTTTTTGCAATCTGTGTACCTAGTTAAAGGTAAATGTCTCATTTGTTCACTCTTAATGAGGCAATAATTTTTTGGGTTTTTTTAATCTAAACAAAGAGGAAACATACAAAATGGTCAAATAAACACGATGACTATTAATACCAGTTCTAATGATAGTGTTCACATTACTTAATTTATTGAGTGATATTTACATAGTTGTTAGGTTATCTACATACTTTACTGAATGAGGTTTTGATACAAAAAAAGACTGAGTCTGTTCCTTATCTTGAGCTTTCCTATAGGGTCATTTAAAGAAATGTATTACAGAAACAGAATTAGGTAGAGAGCCACATTTCAGGAATCCTTCCTTGATGAATGCTGTTGGAATGATAGCAGACCTGTGTTTTAATTTTTATTCTGAATTTCGATGAGCCTGAAGATTTTCTATACCTTCTCCAAACCATGGACGCTTCCCCTGCAGTGGTGGAAAGAGAGACATGAGTGGTGATTGAGAAGTACTCTCCATATAGAGGTAAAATGCACATAGGGAAGCAATAACAACTGTAAACTGAAAGTCGCTGCTCAAAAACAGGAATCTGTGTTCAATTTACATGGCCAGCACACCAAAGGATTGGTGCAAGTACAGTACAAGGCTGAGATTTCCAAGACTGCCTAAAAATTTGTTTTTTGAATGCTAATTCACCTGACTGTCTAGGTCCCTTAATTTGCTGTGATAATCCCTACGTAAAACAACCCTCAAAGTACAGAAGCTGAGTTCCTTACTTCCATGAACACCTGTGAGTATTGGTGAACTTCATTTCTGTTGGCTATTAGAGCAAACAAGAGACTGTTTTACTGGATTATGCATAATCTTCTGTTTAATTAAATGTAACTGATACAGGCCCAACATGACACTTCTAATGCCTGTTTTCTGTTTTTAAGATAATTATGATTAACTTTATTTCCTGGGGTTGCACGTTATTATTACTTGTCAAGATTTATAATAGGATGAATTGGAACCATAGATTTTAAAATGTATGTATTTGCACTCTTACTGCATATTGTTAGTAGTTCAGACTATTATGATTTACTAAATACGTTTCTAATATTCTCAGATTAATAAATCTGAAGGGACAAACAAATAATGGCAGAGAGAGGAACCTTTTCTTTCTCTACCTAATAGAAACTCAGGCAGAGTGATTCAATGATTAGTGCTATGTGCTTAAATACCAGTGGCTGCTTCCAAAGGTTCAGTTTCTATGACACTCTGCATATGAATCCCATTCAGATTAGTGGGAGCTCTGTAAAGTCTGCAACATCGTGATACATTTAACTAGTCCTGGTATTTAGAAAGCAATCATTTCTTGTCCTCAATGCAGTGTCAGGGATTTAAAAAAGGTGTATTTAGCTGTGTGATCTCAAGAAATCAATTGGCATAAATAGGTTTTGAATCCAGCATAAGTAACTGTGAATTAATTCTTAATCTGTAAAATGAAGACAACATTATTTCCCTTGGCTTTCTTCCCTGCCTTATACTTTTGGGAAGGATCAGTCACTTACATTAAGTGAACTGAGTGGTTATTATGAGTTCTTGGTCATCTTTAACATAAAGAAACAGAATAAATACATGTTTGTCTGCTTTTTAAGCCCGCAAGACAAATTCACATCACACTGCAGGCTTTTCCACAGTCAAGAAAGGCAGAAAAAAAATACTGAAAGGAAGCAGAAGGAGAGGAAAATCCCAGACATGTTGTCCCATAGGCATCCCTCCAGGAGCTAGGTCTTGAAGAAAACTACCTAGTCTTGCAAAACTTGAAGTAAATTCACAGGAGTCAGCAACACTGTCGGTAAATTTTGCACATGCACACTGTGAACATAAAATTCTTCATAGGAATATAATTTCTTTTATTTAATATTGTCAACCTGCTCTGGGGACTTTCTCTGCTATGGGTATGGCATTATGCAAGTGGTTTGGTGCACACAACTTTTCCCAGGGAGTGAGTTACTTAAAGAATTTAAAGAGAAATAATAAGTAATGTGAGATCTGTAGCCAGACAGCAGTAGGACAAGAGGGCACGGTCTTAAGCTGTGCTAGGGGAGGTTTATATTGAATATTAGGAAAAAAATTTTTACAGAGGGAATAATCAGACATTGGAATGGGCTGTCCAGGGAGGTGGTGGATTCTCTGTCCCTGCAGGTTTTTACGATGAGACTGGATGTGGCACTTAGTGCCATGGTCTAGTAACCATGGTGGTGTTGAATCAAGGGTTGGACTTGATGATCTGGGAGGTCTTTTCCAACCCAGCTGATTCTATGATTGTATGATTATATGATCTTTCCCTCCACATTTGCTCTTTGCATAGAAATTAATTCTGATGTGGTAGGCCATGGAGAAGAGGCTTCAGATTTTGGGGGAGAGGGAGAGAAAGGAGGAATCAGCAGCCAAAGGCCTTACAAGAGCTGGTGCCTGAAAGCCACAATTTGGAAAATTTAGCCAAGAAATTTGGCCCATATTTTGACAGTCAGTCAAGGGGTGATAAGGAACAGTTGGGTGTCTTGTGGGTCAATCTTCAGCTTTTTCAATATGCGTATCAATACTGCATTTTAAAAAATATTCTGTCATTGAAACATGAGTCATACAGGCTTCCTGCTCAGTGAGTGAAAGGAGTATTTAGCAAAGAATAAGTCTCTTCTTTGGCCAGTGTAAAACAGCAGGCGAGCCTAGATGATCACAAGTCCCTTTTTTCCCCTCACAATTTATTAATTTCTATGGATGAAATTCTTATCTCTCTGTGAAGAGGAGAGCATGCAATTAGTGATGTCTTGTTTGAAATACTTTCAATAAAAAAAGTCCTAAGTTGTCTAAGGGTTTTGGCTTTTGTACTGCTTCCAAAAAAACATAGAAAACGACAGAACATGCAAAATTCATCAAGTATTATAAATGAAAGAAAACAATTCCTTTTTGTATTTTTTAACAAATAATCCACATTTTTTGCCAGCCACAATTTATGAAAAATACATAGCTTCTCAAAAACTGTTTTACTTGTGCATTGTTCCAAAAGGCTGATGTAGGTTGGTTTTAAAGTTATCGATGTGCAATGATTTGATTTATAAATGCTGTTGAGGCAGCTCATAACTGGCTTTTTTATAGCATTCATTGTATAATATTTTTTTCTTCAAATTAACTTGTAGTAAAATGTATTTTCCCACAAACATAGTGCCATGTAATTAACTTTGCATGAGTTGCTTTTAAGGCAGAAAGTGTTACACAATATAGTTTTTACAGAATAAATCACCTTTGGGGAAACCAGCAGAGAAAGCTTTTTCCTAACTAAAGCCTCAGAGCTCAGTAGTTTTGTGCTATCTGATTTTGCAAGTTAAGCTGTAAACAGAGGTGCAAACTCAGGTTTTGGCTACTATGCAGTGACCCTCCTTTTCACAAAACTTTCTTATTTCTACTGAAGAGAGCTTGCTTCCTAAGGTGTTCAGGGAAAGCCTCCTTTTTTGATGTGCTGCAGAGATGATGGAAACTACTTTCCTGCTGTTCCTTAAACCAACTCTCCATGCACCACTCAGTGCCTTCTCCCCCTGAAATCTCTTTGTAAAATCCAGTTACTGATAGGTAAATGCTTATGGTTAGTGATATACACTGTAGGAACATTTAACTACATGTTTGTGCTTATAGACATCTTGTGCAATGCCTACAATGAAAGTCGTGTGAACATTGTTATTTTTATTAAATTAAAAGACCACTGCATAGACACAAGTCTGTGCATCAACCCCATCACTTGTATATACACAACTCTTCTTACAGTTAAGTAAAAGAGTGTGTCTATTACTACATCTTCACCAAAGGTGAATTAGGGCTTATTCTGATTACTCTGAAAGGCCTTTCTTTTAATGAAGGAGTTCACAAGCATTTTTTTGTTTGAAAAGCACCGTAAACAAGTAGTGTCCTTGTATCTGCCTACTATGGCTTAGCAATACAGTGGATTTACACTGGCATGTCAGCAAAGCAGAAATGGTATCTCTAGTATCAGAAAGCTATTACTCTGGCCTACAGATTGCAGCTCTGTCACAGAGAGTGAGCAGCTGAGAAGAACAGTCATTGCTGGCTCTCTTTTGCA